AGCTGCCTGGACTGCCAGGAAACATCCCTTCTAGCTTCTCAGGCTCCCGAATTAGCAACTTGCCTGAAAAAAATTTTGGCGGGCCCGTACGTGGGTACCACGCATACCCCGTGTCTGAGTTTGAGTTCACTGAGGCTTAAGTGGGTAGGAAATATCCTCTTAAAATTGCAGTCTTCTGGCTTTCCAAATTCTCGAGTTAGGGACTTACACGAAAAAAATTTTGGCGTGCCCACACGTGGGTACCACGCATACTCGAGGGCAGGCTTTGGACTGTTAGGAGACTTACGTGGACGGGTAACATCACCTTAAAATTTCAGCTTTTTAGCTTCTCTGGTTCGCGAGTTAGCGACTTACCCGAGAAAAACTTTGGCACGCCTGTACGTTGGTACCGCGTGGGTAGGAGCGCGCATTTTGGAGATGGGGTCCGTACGTGCATGTAGATTAAGTTCCCAGAGTTTTAACCCTGTAGTTTTTGCAGGTCTTGAGATGAAAAACCGTGACAGACGCACACACAGACAGACACACAGACAACCGCTGGTCAGTATGCGTTTTCTGCATTGCATAGCTGCAAAAAACGCATAAAAAGTGAAACATTTTGCTTATGCTGGCACACATTTTCGCGCTATCAACTCAAATCACAACTTTTCCCCCGTTTGCTGAAAATGATGCTGGGTCGCCTGGCTCACGTCATGCTGATGTTTCTGTCCATTCTGCCCATCGTCACTTTTTTTTGCTACAGAATGAGGTGCTTTCTTCACTATTTCGTCCCTTCTTCATTTTTATGGTCCCATTAGCCGCTGCTGCTCAATGATGTGGGTTAGTTGTACAGTTTTTATGCGTTTTTTGTAGCAGCATTACAAAACGCATATTGTCACGCTCTTGAGTATCACCTACGGCCTCGTGAAAATTTTGGCGGATAAACTGTTAACTCGGGAATCACGAAAAGATATTCATCCTTCATGGTTTCGAATTCAACTTTCATGCGCTGGTGCGCGAAATTTTTAGCTGTTTTCCAATGTTTGAACTATTTTTCCATAGACTACAATACAAAGCAGTGAAAATCATTAATAGGCAATCGTTCGATGGGC